TCAACTTGCGAAGAGTCCGGGAGCGGAGTGGGGCCTGCGGGGGCAGAGTCCGGGGAGGATGCCGGTTTGGCAGACTGCTGCTGCGGCGATGAAGGGGGGCTTGGCTTGGGAGCAAGGGGCCGCAGAGCTCGACTGGACCGCCAATCAACCTGTTGATAAATCGGACGGCCCCGAACCGCCCCCGGTGTACGCCTGCTCCTGCTCGGTTGACGCACCGGCGACGGAGACGGAGTAGCTTCTTCGGCAGCTATTCGGAACTCGCCGCTCTTCTGCTCCGGGCCAAGCATCAGTAAGCTTGGGGCGATGGTGGCCGGCGACTGGTTAGACCATGCAGTCGAATCGTCAAGCGCACCCATGCAGACTTGCTTTACAGTAGCCTGGTGGGCGAAGCGCGGCTGCGAAGAACCCGGATGCGGACCCTGCCACTCGGCCAAACGCTCAGAAGGCCGAACAATAGTGGACTCATCTCGAGCAATCTCATTCTCACTAGACTGGTCGGCAGACAACCGACGCTCCGAGGCTGGGGGATCTGGTTCGGGGGCGATGGCATGCGGCGGCGGACTAGAGCGGCAAGGCTGGTTCTGATGCGGGCGGCACGCTCGGCCCTCTTCCGCGGGCCAGATCAGAGTAAATTCCTGTTGAGATGGCTTGTCCACAACTGAGTCGTCGGTGGGCGGCTGCGCGGACGGGGGACTTGGCTTGGGGGCGATGGCACGTAATGGCCGGGCAGGGCTCGAATACTGGCGCTGCGCGGACGAAGCTGAAGAAACTCGGTTTGCAGTTGATCTTCTCGAGCTTGGAAGTGGCTTGCGCGACGAAGTAGATGCGGTCTTGTCCGACTTTGAAGACTTGTTGCCAGAAGGCATGCTGGCGTGGAAGTTTGAGAATACGATGCTGGTATGTGACCAGAACTTTGAGTTGATTTCCGGGGGTTTACTGGAACTGAATCGATTTCTAGGTGGTTAAGGCTATATATCTCGAAAAAGATGCACTGATTGAAAGAATTTCTCTGTGTCAGGTTGTTGTGTGATTGAGGCGTACAAGATCTGAGCGGCATGATTCAAAGAAACTCGTTTGACGAGTGCTTCGAATACATGGCTATTGTGCGTGTCTAGCCCTCACTATCGCACAAACCACCCACAGGGAGGGTTACACGTTCTTCAAAGGGCTGTGCCAGTTGCTCGAGTGAGCAAGAGCCCTCAGCATCTCAGCCAAGCGATCACAATATTCGTCTAGCTCGTCGCCATTCAGCTGCGCAGTATCCCACGATGCGACAAAGTACATATTCTCCTTGTCGAACATGAATGCGTTCCAGAATAACCCACTTGGAAAGAGTCATGTTAGCGAAATTTCGATGCGCACAAGTGTAACACGCGAACCGTGGTAACAAGTCCCCAGCGTCCCACGATAAGACTACCACAGTGAGAGGAGGGGATCACTTACCAGTCTGGCCAGTCGTGACGACTGATGGGCTCCAAAATCTTGTAGATTGAGTGACGCCTGTCTTGCGCCGACATGCCCAGTGTCACGTCCCAGACGAAGCCCTGCCGGAACGAGGCGTCTTCCGCGACAGCGGCCTCCTCGCTCAGCGCAGCCTTGACGTCGTCCCACGGTGCATGGCTGTGCTCTGCGAGCGCAGCCTCCTCCGCCTGGATCCTCTTGAGGAACCCCAGCGCCGTCTCGTCCCCTGCCACGCTGTACATGTTGAGACGCCACTGGGTCGTGGGGCCGTCGACGGCCATGGCGGGTGGCAGATGCGCCTGCATCCAGCCTGGCACAAATGGCCAGGAGCGCGCCGCCTCCCAGCTGCTAAACACCGCGTAGGGAGCGCGTGTCTGTCGGACGTTGAGCAGGATGAGGGCGCACCGCGCGAGCACGTCCGCCGTGATGCCGTGCGCGGCGTGCAGCGCGGGTAGCTGCGGCAGCCGCACGATGCGGCCGCGTCGCGGGAAGCGTAGCCCGTCCGCGAGAGAGGCCCAAGTCCCGTTCCACACCGACTCTCTGGCGGCGTTGCGGGCTGCGAGCTGCGACGACGACGACGAGTCACTGTCGTCGGCAATCATCCACCCGGGCGCGCGCTGCGGCGGCCACAGAGCGCTTGGGAAGCGGGAGATGCCGCGGAGTCTGGCGGCGAGGTAGGCGACGGCGCGGCAGGACAGGTGATTGCGGCGGTTTTGCTGCCACAAGTCGGCCCAGATGCTGTACGGGACGGGCTTGGGCAGCGTTGTGGTCTGGTCGTGCAAGAGGGCGTCGAGGTTGCGCAGGATCGACCAGAGCGACATGGCGTCGACGATTGCGTGATTGAAGAACAGGACGAGAAAGTGGTTCTTGGTATCGAAGCACTTGATCACATTGGCACAGAAGGCATACGGAAGCTGTAGGGAGGATGAAGACTCCTGAGTGAGCAGGATCTTGCCTTCTTTTTCCGTTGCAGTCTCGCTCTCGTGTATCACATCATTGACCAGGCTTTCACCACATAGGAGATGCTGCCATTCGCCGGTGGCTTTCGACTTGGTCAAGATAGACCGGAGCAATACTGTCTTGGATACTAGTATCTGCAGTGCCTCGAGTATTCGTGCACCAGACAGCTGCGGGATGCGATATATCAAGCGGATATGATAGGATTGAGGACGCTGGCCCTCCACCAGACGATACTGACTGGCTCGTAGCGGTATGACCGACTCTGGCATAGCACCGACAGGAAGCACAGAAGTAGGTATAAAGCAAGGCTCTTCGTGACAATAGACGTTGACGGAGACTTTTATTTCAGGAGCATCATGGCCGCCGTCAGGCACCCCGAGGCCCCAGTCGGACGCTGGGATGGTACCAGAACGACGCTGGAGAAGCAGACCGGCTTGCGCGTAGATGTCCTTGCTCTCGAACAAGTCTTGAATGTAGAGCGGAACCTGAACAAGCCTGAATACCCGATCACAGTATTGCAAAAGCAATATGCTGTCGGCAAAGGTATGCACACTCTGTCGCAGCTGCGGCCTTAGGCCACAAAGGTCCTCCCACACTGTGGCAAGCTTTTCGGCCAATATGTCTTGCTCGCGAGTAGTGTCTTGAAGTTGCAGTTGGGGCAGTCCCTGCTCTTCTCCAGCTTTTATGAACTTGGCGAGGGCAGACTTGAGCAGCTGTCGTCGCGGTTTTTGGAGTGATGTGACAGGCATCTCGTCTAGACCAAGCTGTGAGAGGTCGTAAATGGCACCGAGTGTGTACTTGGAGCCAAGACTGCGAGCCTTCTCAAATATTGCGCTGTTGGAAATGTCGTCAGGCCGTTTGACTACAGCAACAGGAACTTCACCCGCAATCTGGTCCGACTGACCAACAACTTGGACCTGAACATTTGACAAGCTTAAAATGGCCCTTTCAATCGTCGCAGGGTCAATGTTTTCGCCGCCGCGAATGATCAAGTCCTTGTAGCGACCAAGGATGTATACGACTCCATCCTCATCTACCCGAGCTTGGTCACCTGTGACGAGCCAGTGGCGTCCACCCTCCTCGTAGAAACTGCTGTTGGTTTCCGGGTTCAGGTAGCCATGAATTACGGAAGAACCAGAAACATGGAGCTCTCCTACATCACCGAGGGATAAAATGTCTCGGGACCCTGGCCGGCAGATGCGGATGGAGGCCCCAGGAACAACTTTACCAACACCAGCGTGGAAGCCTTCGACTAGCAAAGGATCATCCCTGCGCCAGCTCACAAGCGGACCGGTTTCGCTCATTCCATATGCTTGGATGGCGTGGCGAGAGCCGAGCGATTGTTTGCAAAGCTGAATATCCTCTGCAGATATCATTGTGCTCGCCAGCGTTATGATGGAGAGTTTGAACTGGCTGACGTCTGGGCAGCTGCTTTCTGCAAGCATGGCCCTGATCAGAGTCGGAGTGGCTGACATGATGGTGCACTGCTCCTGTACAACGCAACGAAGACTGGCTCGGACGCTGAACGTGGGCGAGGGCAGTATGACGGCGCCGCCCATGCGCCATGCACGCAAGGCATTGTTGATGGCAAATATGTGGTGGACCGGGGTATGAATGAGCCACCGATCTACAAACTCGGGATCTGGATTGGGATCATAATCGTGAGTCTGGGATATCAGATTGTCGTGGGTGTGCACACAAGCTTTTGGTGTTCCTGTCGTGCCGCTCGTGAAGATGATGAGTGCACTGCTGCCTGTACCACCTGCTCGCAGGCCGTCAAACTGGCAGCCCATTTGGCATATTTTGTGCGCATCTTTTTCAAGCTGTGCAAGTGAAAGCCAGCCAATTTTGGTAGTGGTAGTATCGGAAAGAATAATCTTGGCTTTGACAGAGCTGTTGTCCAGAACGGTCCAGTCCTCTACTAACTGAGCCACCTGCTCGTCTTCAACAAAAACTACCTGGGGAGCCGAGGTAGACAGCAAAGAGCCGAGCTCATTCTTGGCGGCCATTGGATCTAATGGAGCAAATACCATGCCCAGTTTTGCTGCGACCCAGAAAAACAGTCCCCATTCCGCAATGTTTCTGGTGACAACAGCCAGCGTGTTGCCTGCACCGCCGCAGTCGAGATGGCCAAGGTGGTGAGACATGGCATCGACCTTTGATAAGAGCTGCTGGTAGCTCCAACGCTGGGAGGAGACCCCAGAGACAGAAGAAGGGGCTTCGGTGTCTTCAGCTATAGCCACAATAGCATCTCTGCTTGGATACTTTGTGGCGGTGGCAAGGAACATGTGCCAGAGGAGCTGTCCGAACCCGGTGGGGAGATCTCCATGGAACTCAGCCAGATCGGCTTGCACAGTTGAAGATTCCGGTGTGGGAGCACGAAACTGTTGATGTGACATGTTGTGATTTTGAAAGTGTACAATTGAAGAAAAAGGAATAGACTTGGGAATGACCAGTGCAGTAACAAGACTTTTTTATTGATCAGATGGCAGTTGAATGATCTTAAATATAGTAACGAATAAGGAATGAATGACCAAAGAAGAAATATCTAATCCTAAGCGGCCCCTGCGGCCCATGACTTTGGATGGCACGGGAAGACAAAGAGCCCATATCTGGATCGTGTGAAACCGTCAACCGTGCCACGTCCCTAGACTCAGCTATATTTGTCACAGACTGTACCACATCGGTCAGAGAAAAGCATGTGAACATAAAACGCAATTAGGAAATCTAGGGGTCGATTAGGCTCTGGCCACCGGGGTGTGATGGCGAATCTTAACCAGGCACTGTCGGTAATATTATGCTGCGCCTCGTGCTACGTAACCGATTACTCGATCTAGTACTACAATTACGAATTGGACACGATCGAAAGTAGCAGACGGAGAAATTGGAGCAAGATGAAGCCTGGGTCAGAGTCTGAAGAGCTTCAGCTTTTTCGGCCATGGAGGTGGACAGCTACACCACGTAAAAGGCGCAGTTCACCCGAAGTTGCAGCTGATTTGGCATCTACGTTCGGCAAATCAAAAAAGAAAAAAACAGCAAACAATATGGCAATATTGAACGAGGAAATATATTACTGAGAGAACACGAACCGAGACCTTGGTCCTGGAGCGCTGTACCTAGCCGTTCCGTGTACACAGAGGAATACGAGGACATGTCGGTGATGTCAGTCCCAGGTTTCTGGTAGGGGGAGGGATAGGAAAATAGGTAGATTGTTATGTAGATCTTTGTACTAGGTAGGGACCGTAGCTCGAGGAACATGTTCCAACTTGTCGGGAAGCAAGTCCCAGCTCGAGTACGTCGCTGCACGTTGTGGAGAGAATCAGCCATCTTGGACGCAACAAGGCAATGATATCAGCTTGAAGCGATATTATAGGCGGATTGGAACCGAAAGACTTTCAGTTTTGCTTTTTCATAAAGTGTTTGCTTAAGTGATTCCCAGACTACAGGTCATCCAGGCGTCTGGGCCGCTGGACACCGACCACGGGACCCAGCCTGGCGGTTCTGGGTAACTATTTACAAGAATAAGCAAGGCCATTAATACCATTAGTGCAACACAGTACTTTGTGAGAGGGTGTACGGACCAGGCTTGCTGTTGGCACTTGACTACAAATGAAGACAGCGGATCTCAACTTGAGCATGCCACAAGCGCTCTACACCTGCATCATCGGAAACGACCCAAGCTGCTGGTATCGGAGTACCAGTCTGTAGAACGTGACAGATGTAAATAACCGCATTGATTGAGGTGCGTCTTACTCCATCTTATGGGTAATACATGCAGCAGCCAAGGCCTGTCGAGGGCTGTATTGGCTTGGTCAAGGTCGATTGATTCGTCCGTCACATTTCTGAGATTCTGTCACGGTGAACAAGACGCAATATAGGGTCTATATTTTCAAACTTATGATGTAGTGTCCAGGGGCCTTTATTGGCTCAAGCTCCGGCCAGAGACAGAGGCGATCAAAAAGCAAGTGGTGAACAGCAAGGGAGTCTTATATATTAGGCGCAGGAAAGCACAGTTCAGAACTTGTAAATTCACTCTTCAAACAATCTTTAATACATATATGTTAATTTCAACTTTTTATTCATAACAAAATGCAGCTCGCCATAGTCGCATCTATACTGCTCGTCGTGCCTGCTCTTGTTGAGTTTCTTTACACACTGCTGTTACGATACTTGAGCGCAAGACGAGGCAAGCCATGCCAGACAGCGTGTCCTGCTGGTCCAGTCAAGGATAAAATATTCGGCCTTGATTTCATCTACAACATCATCTTCAGGAAAAGCGACGAGAACTATCTCGCCTCCACCTGCAGACTGTTCAAGCAGTTTGGCTCAACCTACACTATGAAGAGCTGTTTCTGGCAAACCATCTTTACCAGCGACAGTCAAAATATCAAGCACATACTTGCAACATCATTCAATGACTTTGAACTCCCGAAGCTGCGCCGTGATGCCATCTCTACACTGCTGGGAACCGGAATCTTCAGTGTCAATGGTGCGTCATGGTCACACGCGAGGTCGCTACTGCGACCGTCCTTTGCCAAAAGAGACAAGTCTGCCATTACAGCAATGCTGGAAGACCATTTCCAAAGTTTTCTGCGCCATGTCCCGCGGAACGAAGAGGCAGTGGATTTGCAGCCGCTGTTTTTCGCGCTCACCATGGACTTTGCCAGCCAATTTCTGACATCAAAGTCCTCCCACATGTTGGACGAGACAAGGTCACACGACAAAGAGTGGCAGTTCTTTGAAGACTACACTACATGCTCGGAAGAGGTCATCAAGAAGATGTGTCTTGGTCCACTTCAAATTTTCCGCTACAACCGGGCTGCTGAAAAGGCCAAGCGGCGTGTCTTCAAGTACATGGATGGCTTTATTGATGAAGCGCTACGGAGCGCCGATTCAAAAGAGGCAAAAGAGGACAACGTGCTCACCAAGCTTGCAGAGGTCACTCCGGACCGCAAGATGCTACGAGACCAAATGCTGCACCTATTGGTAGCAAGCCGCGACACCACGGCCAGTCTGCTCTGCAACCTGTTCTTCATGCTGGCAAAAGAGCCTGAAATGTACAAGACTCTAAGACAGGAAGTGCTGTCCGTTTGTGGCGATGCGCCACCTTTACCAGACCAGCTGAAGCAGATGAAGTACCTTTGCTGGTGCGTTCAAGAGTGTAAGTTTGTGCAACCACACAGGGGCGAAAAACCAGATGGGAAGATCGCGCCAACGGACAAAGAACATGCGCTGACAAGGCACGTAGCACTGCGCCTCCATCCCGTCATACCCACCAATGCACGGGAAGCCACACGAGACACGACGTTGCCCGTCGGGGGCGGCAAGGATGGGAGCGAGCCTCTACTGGTCAGAAAGGGCACGCTGATTGTATACAATGTTTTTGCGCTGCATAGAGACGAGGCTGTCTTTGGCGCCGATGCGACCAAGTTTCGTCCTGGGAGATGGGCTGGTCTGCGTCCGGGCTGGGGATACCTCCCGTTCAATGGTGGCCCGCGCATCTGCCTCGGCCGTGAGTACTGAATAGATGAGAAAAGGGGGAGGGGGGGCCAAAAGGGTTTAGAATAAATGAGCTAACGAGGAACACAGAACAGATGGCGCTTTTGGAATCTCAATACCTGGTGGCGCGCATGGTGCAGACTTTCCAGACCATGGCCTCGCAGGAAAGCCGCGACTGGGAAGAGCTCTTTGCCCTCGCGACGACATGCAAGCACGGAGTCAAGGTCAGGATGAAATGGGCATGAATACTGTCTTTGATGAGTCAAGATATTGCAAGCAGAATGTTCTGTTATGTGGAGAATTTTTTTATCGTCTTTTTATGGAAGCAAACGCTGCGAACAAAGATGTTTATAGTACAGTCCATAATGCAGCCACTTATCAATGCCATCTCACTTCTATCCAAAAAAAAAAAAAAGAAAAAAAAAACATAACATATCCTCCAGAAAAGATAAGTCTTGGACCATGTATAACCAAACAGTTCCTACAGTGATCGGGAAACCTTGATTCCTCACTGTTTCGTGGAGCCTCGCACAGCCTCGCACAGCGATCTTGTTATGAAGCCCGTCTGACAAAAGTAGAAACTGCGCCAATGAATCTGAAAAATCATACCCAAGAAAACAAACAAAAGAAAAGACAAAGGAAATATTTGTACAGAGGTCTTGCATGGTGTTTTGGGTAAGATACCCTAGTTGTTGATAGCTCGACTCGACGAAGCCTAGGTAGAGGCCGCCAGAGTCTTTTGGTAGTCACCAGCTTTATAGGTGAGTCTTTTCCAAGGAGGAAGCGATCTTTTATATCTCGCTTCATCTATTTCGGCGCGTTCTTTATCGAAGCGATCCATGCCCTGATCGTGTGCGACCCAGTTGCAGCAGATGTGGGCAAAGACTGTGATGGTTTCGCGGTCCAAGCAATCTTCATAGTTGGCCAAGTCTCCCCATACAACCTCTTGCAGGGCGAATCGTTCGTCCCTGACGCGATGAATGCAGAGCTGCGCCGGGTATTTGGTGGCGCCGGGGCTAGGGACCCATTTGAGCCGAAGCTCGTAGTACCCGTCTTTGGTCTCGTCGGCATTTCTTGTTAGGTGTTGTGGCAGGATGGGGTCTCTCGAAATGAAGCGCCCTTGGCGGACACCGTCGACGCAATATCTGTTGCCGTTCCAGCTCAGTTCGCTGGTGAGGTAGGCGTTTATGATGAGCTGGCGGTACATCATGTCCTGGGCATTGATGAGCTGCTCCCTGCGGTCCTTGAGAAGCTCTGCGGTGCCTTGGAGGAGGCCCCGCCTGGTGCTTCGGACGTCCATCTTGGCCCTGAAATAGGCGAGTGACATGTGGCAGGAGTGGGAGGCATCAATTTCTGCATGCATGGCAGCCATGGTCTCGTCAATGGCGGCGAGCTCGGTTTGGTGCCAGACCTGAATCTTGTTGAGAGAGTTGCGGACCAAAACCATGTACGCGATGAAAAGGTGGCTAAGATTGCCCTTGATGCGGTGACTAAAGTGACCAAATCGTTGTAGGTCATGTCGAATCTCCGTGAGAATCTGGATATCATCTTCGTGATTGATGTGGTGTTCTGTGTAGTTTCTTGGTCTACGCATGGGAAACGCTTCAGGGCTAAAGTCCTCGATGCAGTTTTCTGGATTGGTCATGATATATGCCGGCGTAATGTTGCGCGGGTAGATAAAATAGGCAGACATTGTCGATGGGACTTGACTGATGGTTTCCGATTTACGAAAAGTTGTTCAACTTGAAGTCTCAAAGGTCGAGATTCTGCCAGATAGAGCAATGCTGACAAGGTGGAGGTTGTGAACGAGAGAGGATGAGACACGGGTTTGAAATTTGATCACTGTCAACTCTGAGGGATCTTGGTCCTTTTATAGTTAATATTAAAAGCCTGATACGAAACAGAGAATGGTTGAGTTCAGACATATCGCAGCCTCCAAAGCTTCTCTTCTCCCCACAGGCCTCAATTTGGACAGCAGTCTGCGCAGGGCTTTGCTCAAGGCAGCCACAGCAAAGTTGAAAAATCAAAATCATTATATTTAAAGGGTTTTAAAGGGTTAAATCAGAGATTGTCTGCCCTTTGCTTGCAGGCTTGTGGTTGAAGGGGTTGGTCGACAGCTATAGTAAGTTTTGAGGTGGCTCGTGGCGTATAAATTTGATTGACAGCCACAATAAATTCGCTGCTGACTCGGTTTAACTCACGAGGCGTTCCAGTGGCTTTACTCTCCATCTCGAAAAGCTTTACCTACGAGTGCCGGCGGCGTTGTCACCATATAGTGGTCGCTCAATACCACAGTGCATACGATAGTCACAGTGCGAGTACAGACAACATAGCTATACACAACACACTGCACTTAATGCAAGGACCGACAACATATTTCGACATGTCGACTGTGATTAGAACTTAATTTAAATAATAGCGCTCCGTTATTTAGCCTGTGAACGCACCAGCCTACACGCGGCACCTAAAAAGGCAAGGGCTACCATAGACAAGGCTTCATGAGTATTGCTCATTATGATTGCAACAGTCGAACTAGGACTTAGGATATACTGATAATTCAGTGAAGTTGTGCGGCCTGTACTATAGGGGTTGATACATTCTGGGGTTCTTTGTATGCATTCGGCTGTTTGCCGAGGCGGGTATAACCACGAATCTGCGGTGGGTTGAACGGCCGGCAACTGGATCGCGAGTGACCTTACGCAAGGGCTGTGAGATCCGACTTTCTAAATGAGACTGGCAGGCCTTTCCAGTCACAGAAGGAGATTGAGCTTTTTTAAAGTTCTTTAGTTGCTCCTTTATGAAAGTGCCTGATCCTTGGCAAGTGCACAACTGACCAGGGCGCAGTCGGCCAACTTGCCTCTGATGACAAAAGTAGAAGACCGTTTGATAACAACAGTAGAAACCGCAAGATATAGCACGTGTAACGCATAATACAGAGGATCGTTAGAAATACTCAAGATTTAAACGGTAAATGTCGGCTATCGGTGAGCAAGCTATGGTGGACTATCCATATAAGCCGGGCTCAGCTACAGTGACTCGGCCTCATAATCACATTTGATGAGCCAGTGAGGGAAAAAAAATTTTAGCAAAAAATGAAAAGAAATGTAAAGGATTAAGGTCAAGGAAGAAAGCATTTCTACTTAAATGAAAGCAACCAAACTTTATCGACACGATATCATCTGGAGTGGCAAAAAGTTGCGACCCAGTGTCCCAGTCATATTACAGTGGATTGGACGCACCAAAGCCACTAAAGAAAGTGTCACGACGTACCGAAAACCACTGTAATGCCGCTTCCTCCATCAGCAGCCTCACCAGAGCGCGAATTCCGCCGTTTGACATCATCACCATCACCATAACCTCTGCTTCTCCGGTCTTCTTCCCTCAGTCCGCCCTTGCGTCGCGCTTGCTGGCAACGCTTGTCACCATGAGCATCACGCGATCAGGACCACAGCCCGACAAGCACGAAGGACACCGCCATGTTCGAATACACCCAGAATGCTCCTTATGCGGGTGCTACTTCGAGGTCGGCGAGCCCATGATGGCCTGTAAGTCAAGCCTCGCGGAAGTGCATGCCCAGCTTCCGTCAAAGCTGACAGCAACAAATTACCTTCCCTGGTAGTGCTTGGAGATCGCTTCAGCACCACCTGCCGAGTCATTGATGCCTCGACATTTCCTATAGCCATCTATTGCAACCAGAAGCCCGGCACGCCCTGGACCTTTTGTCAGCTACCGAAATGCACTAAGTGCGCTGCCGAGCTCGAAAGCGTCACGGTGCATCGGGATTGCTTCCAGATCTTTCTTCAGCAAACAGCCGATCATAAACACATTACGGCGTACAACTTGTGGCATGCAGCGCACGCCCGTTATCCTTGGCGTGGGTTTTGGCCTCTCCCGCTGACCATTTTGGACCAAGATGCGGCAAACCTCGCCATGACCTGCGCCGCTGCGACATGGCGTATGTCTCTGAACATGCTTCCGAATGAATTGCTGTTGCTGATATGTGAGAATCTTGGGAACAGCGTCTTTTGGCGCCATGTGCTGGCCAAGGAGTTTACTCGTAAGCTTATGATCGAAGCCGATAATGCCACAGCATCAATGACTACGCTATTGCGAGTAGAATCCTGGAAGCGAGGCACTGTACCAAAGATGGCAACTTCTGATGCCGGCGGCTTCTATCGCCTCACAATAGACTCGTACGGTTTGCGAGAAATTGAGCGGCTGCCAGACATCCCGGCGAAGAGCTCGATGCGAAGTGAGACATATGCCTACGTTGTGGATAGCGTGGAGCGACTGGGGGGAATACCGATTTCTTTCAAGGTCAAAATTCTTCAAGGGCAATCTGTAAAACACCCGACGCTAACTTGTTTTAACTGTTACAGTTTGGACTTGGCCGACTTTACCCGCCCAAAGGAATGCGATCGTTGAGATCTTGGGATACACCAGGTCCACCAGTTGCACCAGATCACGAATTTTCACCCGAGGTACAGCCCGTATGCCCGCGCTTAGGCACCATTGAAACGAAAATCTCGTTTGGAATCACCTTCTTCATCTCATCCGGCACAATCGCGGCAATGCATGCGCACACGGTGCAGGCGCCGTCGGCCTATTCGTGCTTCCAGCGACTCAATCCCGTCAAGAAGAAATGGGTGGCTTGGATATTCGTGCCCATCCGGGGTGGGATCGACAAATTCGGGTTTCGAACTCCGTTGCTGCCACCCGGAGCGAGCCTGCCTCAGTTTGCAGGCAGCCTGCTTGTAAGTACTAATGACGGGACGAAACGCAACAACAGAGTCTGATTTTTACAGCTGCACACGAGTATTTCGGGAGAAGTCGTATTGGGGCCTTATATGCACTATGGCAAGGATTTGTGGATGGAAGACGACGCAACCACGCTGATACATGGCATATCCCGAATGGGCGCTGTTTATCCGTTGGGGACAGCGCCTCGTGATCAGGAAGGCGAGGAGGAGGAGGAGGTATTTTTTCAAAACCCGATGAACTTGTCACCGCCATTCGAGCATGCCTACTTTTCCTACGCAGAACTTGACAAGGTCAAGGATATTGAAGTTTACCACGACAAGGCACTGGGCATTTGCCGAGGCGTTGTTGTTGGATACCAAAATGGCGGGGAGAGGGCACTAGGCCAGTGTCGCATTGGCGTCGACGCGGTACGAGTGTACGAACAGCCAGCGTGCTTCTGTTACAAGAAGATCAAATATTTGCGGCAGGGCACGCGCGTGGAACGGGACAGCGTCAAGATTGAATGCAATACCGATGCGAATCATGATCATTCAGAGGAGGGATGGACGTGCTGCAAATTTCCTAGCAGGCTCGAGTGGTGGTTCACTAGCGAAGAGTCCCGGATATCCTTTACACCAGGGCGGGCGGGATGCAGATGAGACGCAGGCGTGCAGCAGACGTGCATTAGTTATGCTGTCGGCAGGAGATTATCAGAATTTACCTTGCATATGTATTTGATCGCTCACAGAAAATTTATACCCGACCTTGAAATTGATTTCTCTTCAATTACATGTGCCGGCTCGTGCCGCGAACAATTAAAACAGTTGGAGGAGGCATCTGACCGCCGGCACACGCAACGCTATAGTATCCTGAAGCGTCGTAGCCTCCACGTGGATGAAGCTGCTAATTCTGGTAACTATAACAGTACTCGACAAAGGACAAGGATACGATAACAATTCAGGCGACCAGTGAAAAGTTCTGGTGGCAAGACAAGGCGCTCCTTGCAGTGAGAGTGGAGTGTGCCGGGCCTCCCTGCCTTCTGGAGGGGCCAAGACTGCCTATTTTGGTGCAGCGCGGGGGGGCACTCGGTCGTGGTGGGCGCGAAAAAAAAAAAGTTTTGATGAGAAAATTCTCGCGGGCCGGCAGCTTCACTATTTTTCTCTCTTTCTTTTCTCTTCTTCTTCTCCTCTCTTGGGCATCTTGCTCCCGTATTGCCCCCGTCAGAAGCTATTCTCTCAATCTCGGAGACCTCGGTCATCTCCTACTTTTGATACTACCGGCTTCTCCTCCCATCATCTTCGTACCCCTCCAGCGGTCGTCTACCCCGCCAGTGACGCCTCAGTCACCATACAATAATTCACAATGGTTGAAAAGCTTTACGTCACCTACAACGATGTAAGTGTACTTTTTCCCTTTTTCCAAGACGGCCCAGTCAAACTCACCCGCGGAATTGTCCCGCAATACGCTTGCCGCGCCCCGTTAGACTTGACTGCCCTTCACATGCTAATTCACTTTTCTGCAGGTGCACAACCTGTGCAAGGAGTCTGCCGTGCGCCTGCTCGCCGACTTCCAGCCGCAGCTCATGATTGCCATTGGCGGCGGCGGCTACATTCCCGCGCGCATTCTGCGTTCATTCCTCAAGCAGCCTGGCTCACCCAACATCCCCATTCAGGCCATTGGACTCTCCTTGTACGAGCAGCTCGGCGAGGACACCGAAGTCGAGACGCCCGGCACAAAGGTGACGCGCACGCAGTGGCTCGACCTCACTTCTCTCGGTCACATGCAGAACCTGGTCGGCAAGCGTATCCTCATTGTCGACGAGGTCGACGACACGCGCACCACGCTCGAGTACGCCGTCAAGGAGCTCGAAAAGGACGTCGAGGAGGCCCGCAAGAAGATGCCCGACGGCGATGCCCAGCCCAAGACGGAATTCAGCATCTTTGTCCTCCACAACAAGGACAAGCCTAAAAAGGGCACACTGCCCCACGACATGGTGCCCGACCGCTACCACGCCGCTCGCACCGTCCCCGACGTCTGGATCAACTACCCCTGGGAGGCCATCAACATTGAGGAGCACGACGAAAACGCCAATTCTAGTCGCAAGTAGATGTGTGTTCTCGACTCTCGATCCTTTGACATTCCCACTGTCCTGGGCCTACAAAAAAACTGCCAATGATATCCATTAGACAACCGACGGTACGGACAATAAGATCCGCGATACCCATGACATGAAGAAAAAAAATCAAAATGAGTTCAATCAGGAGCTGTTCCTTGGAAGGCATAAATTACTGAGCAATCTATCTGTTTCACACATTTTCTCACTCTGGTCTCTTCCTCTTCGCTTCAAATAGCATGCAATATAGTTGCCGGAGCTTCCATGCCCGGTTCTCTCTCGGTTCCAGGTCGTGCTCAACCCACTCATGGCGATGCATGTTGATACCCGTCCTAAAATGACATCGAAAGGATGACGTGCCTGTGCACATCCTTCGCTTCCGACCACCACTCAGAAGCAGAAGGCAGCATCGCACAAGACAGGGATATTGATACTGACGGATCAGGAAGATCCTGTAACAGGGTGCATGGTGTAGACGTGTTGTGCGTCTTCGGCAACGTTGTCTGTTTCCATCACGTATGACGGGGGCTGCACGTTCGGCGATGGCAGCGCCGAACTACAGCGTCCGGGCATGGGTGCCACGGCGGAGCCATGACACGCGAACGCACCGGACCAGTGAAGCGAAATGCCCGAGTTCTGTCGGCGAGGCGTGGACGACCAAAGAAGATAAGGAATAAAGTGAAAAGTGAACTGCTTCGACGCTGCTTGCTTGTCAGCCTCCACACAGGGAGGCGTCCACCTTGATAGACATGACGAGTATGAATCATAGAGTCTCTATATTCCATGTATGTATGTCTAGTCTAATAAAATATGCAGCGGGACATGGCTCTGTCGGCCAAAAACGTTTCGCTGTGTTGGTAGAAGCGATGATGCTTCATCTCTCTCTCTCGTCTGGCAATGTATAAAAGACAGTCTTTGCTGCCCAGAAACGCCCCAGTCTAATGCTCTTGTAGATGCATCGTGAAAAAAAAAACATATATACAACACCGGTTTGTCGTATATTTACCCTCCGGCTGTCCCTTCACGCCGGTGCTTCTCCTTGAGCCTCTTTTCCTGCTTCATAAACTCGCGGATCCCCACCGGAACGTTTTGGAAAACATCATCCGTCCACATGTCCTTTGCAATCGTGGCATCTCCCACCGCGCCCGTCGCCCGATTCTTCTCAGATCCTCCTCCCCCGCCGCCCAAACCCGCACCGGCCGCACCGGCCGCACCACTCGCATTCGCTGCCGCTGCCGCTGTCGCAGCCGCCGTCGCCGCCGCGCTCTCCGCGAGGCGCCTCCTGGCCTCGCTGGACGCCAGCGTCCACTCCTCCATGTCCTCGCGGTAGAGGTCCCACACGCAGTTGACGCATCCGCTCATGCAGCAATTATCCGGCTCCTCGGGCCGCGGGGGCACGCGCACGCCTGCAATCGTCGTGGACTGCGCCGCGCGCCCGGCAGCGCGGTCGGCGCGCTCGGCGGGGCCTAGCAGGCGCGAGCCGAATATGACGCGGGCGCGCTCGGCGGCTGTGGTGGCGGTATCGGTGTCGTTGGAGTTGGAGTAGGCGGTGCGCGAGGAAATGGTGTCGTACGTCTTGGCCGGCGGCGGCGACGACGGCGGTGACGGGGCAGAGGAAGAGCCAAGAGGCTTCGAGGCTTTGGCTGTGGTGGTTGTGGTGGTGGTGGTGGTAGTATCGTAAGGGGTGGGATCGCGCAAAAGAATGTCGTAGTATTCACCGCGTGGTTGACGTTGTGGCCAATCGGGCTTTGGGGTGCGGTTGGTGGGCGGCAACGTCGTCGTCGTCGTCGTCGTTGTCGTTTTTGCTGCCGAGGCGGAGGAGGAGGAGGAGAGGGCTCGCCAGGACGTGGGCGAGGTGCGGCAAAAACGGCACACTCTTGGCGCCAATCTCGACGGCGCCGACATGTCGAATGGGGTAGAATCACAGGTCGCAAAGCTGTAGTGCTTTTTGCGCGGTCAAGGGGGAAAAGACAATGGAAGAAAAAAAGATGGCTTGACCGATGTTCGGCTGTGTTCGGGATGATGTCAGAGCAGAGCGCAGGTCGGGCTGGTGGAGCGAGGGTCAAACGGCCTGGAGAGCTAGCTCGGCCTTGCACGTGGGGGGGGGGGGCTTTCCCACCAAGATGGCCGTGTTACAGGTGGGAAAAACACATTGCAGAAAGAATTAGAGTTTTATTCTTTCAACGAGAAGAAAAAAGTTTCAGGAATTCGAGCGGAAAGATGAACAATTTCATCAATACCAGATCCCGTTTGTAGTAGATCCCGTACATGGGCCCCGTGATAAGCCGCCCTAACCAAGTCTGCTATAAGTTTACACCATGTACAAAAACCTGCGCCTGTATTCTCACTTTGACAACCTCCTCATATACTCGAATTGCATTGCTACTAATAACCCCGCTACTAGGTATGTAGCGACATTGTCAAGTCATGTCGACATTTGTGTCGGTCGGCCGTCATTGACAGACCATGCGCTCTGATGATTCCCATCATAGAGGCAATATACGAAAAGTCACAGCAGTGAAAGGTACAATACGATGCACAAATTCGTGCCATTGAATAGTCCAGGCACGAGCTCACATGCGTGTGGTTGTCAAAAGCCTAGTGGCTGCTCATACAATGTAAACTTGGAGCCTCATTCCTTGTAGCTGCCCGTTCTTGGCTTGGCTCCTCGAGTCCTACCTTTGACCATGTTAGATTCATCAATAGCCTCGTTTTCATCCCGCTCTACTCGGACGTTAGCTGCAGTTATCCGTGGCCAATTTGTTGAGCGCGCGACTCACCCAACTGCGCGCGACTGTTGGCCTTGGACTCGCTGACAGGGTCCTCGACAGCAGCATCGTCTCCCTGCACCGGCACCGGCTCCTTTGCGCGCGTCACGTAGGAGGAGTTGTCCTGGACTTGGTCATCGGGCACGTAAGACTCTGGCTCGTCTGTGAGCTTGGGATCGATTTGCGCAAAGGGGTTTTTTGACATTTTGACTCTTGAACTGTGATCGCAGTGTATTCTGGAAGCGGTGGGTGGGAACTGTCTGTACTGACAAGTTCTCTCGGGGCATAAGAAAAGTCCGTCCATATTTGTAGCAAGTCTTCTGTGACATCGGCCTGCGATGTGCCTTGATCCGCCTGAAGTTCAAGTACAAGATGATGCAGTATGATTGCGTAGGAGCTATGCAACGACTTGGCGATCAGTGCCCAACTCAGCCTTGCTCATTCTATTTGGCGGAAGCTGGTCAAACAAAAGAATGTTTTCAAAAGTAGGCCGGGGAATAAAACAAGGCGGGCATGGAATAATAGCACAGTCTTCTCAATCACAGCTACGCACTAGAATCAGCTAGGTAATGATAGGAAACTTTTCCGGAAAATATAAGATTTATAACGAATTAATTCGAGACATAGACCGATGTTTTGCGATCTTCGAATAGCCGATGACTCTAGCAACAGGCATTTCTGTAAGAGGTACTTTCAAGGGTCCTTCATCTACTGACTGCACTCCACTGGCAATCTGTGATCCAAATGTATACCATGACTCAAGGCAAACAGCGTCTCCAAGTACGAGGAGCAGTGTTCAATTTAAAAAAAAGACCTACTTATGTTCTCAAAGAATAAGACTTGAGCTATGAGAAGATTTTACGTATGATTCAGCACGTTACAGTGATGGCCATCAAAACTGGAGTTATGCTGCGGCTTACGCCTGGCTAATTACGGTTACGTACCGAGCGAATTGCTAACTCGGCATGAAATATGCTCCATGACTAGTCTGACGCCAGTTCTTTTACTCTTCCTTTCGTTTTCTGTTTTACAGCTTTTTTGGTGACGAGTGACAGTAGAGAGAGGGCCGCATAGGACAGCTCTGGCGACACGGGTCTTGTGTGTAAAGGCTGGAGAAGAAATCAGCGAGGCCTATCCAATACTACAAAACATCCTCAGCCGAGAGCAATTAATTGAAAAAGACAGCGTCGTAAGCTTGCGTCCTGGTACCCAACAGTTGTGCAGCGGACAATGCCGCCATGGGCAGCTTCATGGCTACTAAGACGCTAACATGGTGAGTATGGCTTACACCATGGAAAGACACTCGCCGACGTGATACTGGCAACATGATTCGGGAGCTAGAAATTGCAGAGAATAAGAATCGGCTCTCGAATGGACCTATGACCAAAAAAAAAAAACCTGTAAGCTGGCAAGAGGGTAATCCTATGCCCAAGCGCGCAAATAGTCACCTAAGCCGCCTTTGAAGCATCAAAGCCTGCAACCATTGTATTCTTCGCCACTTCTTGGAAGCGATTTACAACACAAGTCGGCGATGATCAGCCAACAATTTGTCTTGTTACAGAAGTACTTGCAAACATTATTAGCTTACATCGTTGGTGTATTTCTTCGGACCACTTCATCCGCGCTGATGCAGACTCCCACACCAATGGTGCGTCAACCATGACGACGTAATGATCCCCAGCCGGGAGGTGTGACCACAACAGTGGCTCTTCCGCATGTGAGCCGTGTTTCAAGGATCAAATACGTAGATATGATATTATAAATCCGTGGAATATAATTGGACGGAATAAAAAGAAGTCTCGTCAAGACAAACACCCAAAACGTATAAAATCAAGGCTACAAGCTTCCATGTCAGAGTTCTGGCTTCATCTTTAATATGAATTTGTTACAAAACGCTGGTAGAAGCTCTACCTTGAAATTACTTTATAATACATCAATTCAGAATACTACCAAGAGGTTTCAGACGGCAGCCATGTCTACAATCTCGAGCGCCATCGTCAAGGATCATCGCGAACTCAAGGAATACTACGATGAGGTCATTAACAACCCCAACAATCATGACCATCAGCAGCGATACGGTAACCAGTTCACTTGGGAGTTAGCTCGCCACTCGGTCGGCGAGGAACTCGTTGTCTATCCCGCACTTGAGAAGTATCTTGGCGATCGTGGCAAAAAGATGGCGGATGAGGACCGCGAGGAACACCACCAGGTTAGTTGCAACCAATTTGGGCAGCAACAACAACGGCGCTAATTATCCTATAGGTCAAGGAAATGCTCAAGGTGTTTCAAAACATGTCATCCTCGGACAAGGAATACATTCCTCAGTTGAAGAAGATTTGGTCGACGCTTGATGAACACATCAAGGAGGAGGAAGAGCGCGATTTGCCAGCGCTCGAGGAGAAGCTTCAGCAAGCTCATGGCGAGTCCAACTCAATGGCCACTTCTTTTGGTCGTACAAAGGCATTTGTTCCGTCGCGCAGTCACCCAAGCGCTGGCGAGAAGCCGCCGTTTGAAACCGTCATGGGTCTTTTGACAGCGCCAATCGACCACATTGCCGACATTTTCAGAAAGTTTCCTGATCAGACTATTTCGCCTAACCCATCCACAAAATAGTCGGTTTTGGCAGTGGTTCAAGTAACCAGAGAGTTTAAATAACCAGAGGGTAGATGTATCGCTTTTAAGAGCCTATTGCTACTCCTAGTCGATAGAGATGAACAATTACCGTTGCTACTTGAGACTGCACTTTGATCAAATCAGCACCTAAGACTAGTCACTATCTTGTCGCCTTCAGCAGAATTAATCAAGCTGCTGATCTTATAAGCTAGGATCGTCCAGTATCAACATCTGACTCTTTCTAGAAATGGAATGATCGTCACAAACTAGTGGCTGTTGCGGCGGATGTGGAAGGTTGCATCGAGCGCCCGGAATTCAACGACAATCAGAGCTGTTTGTTGCTACTCGTAGGCATACCGGATTGTGCACCTTTTACAGTAAAGCTTTTCTCAGTTTATGCAATACAGAAATAGTGCACGACCACGTCGGGGACGAAAAAGAAACGAGCGGTCCTGAGTAGCGATGACCTCTTAGGTGAAGTGCCTGTTACCAAAGCAATTAGCTATCGATTCAAATTTGTAGCGATGTCAAGTATACTAAACTACTATTTCTTTGCCCTAAATAAAGTACCTATAAATTTCTATCTTTTATATATTTCTTTAGCTTAATACAGTGCGTAGCTGTGATGAAGCTGACAGTAGGCAAAGTTCACGACGGCCGGGTTTTCTGTCCATCAACAACACGAAAGGCTGGTCTAGCTGTAGACCATCTCCGCGGCAAGTACCGAAAATACATTTCTGACAATCAATTGCGTCAGTCCTAGAAAACTCGGAAACCGTGCAATAGCTTTGGATCAGTTGTTTTCAAGTGCGTGTCATGCCAACTCTAAGCTGTCATGACTTCTATTGCGTCATGGTGCAGTCAACCGCAGATCCGCATGCTATATAGGCTGGGAACGCAACCGCCGCCCTCGGAACTGAGAACCAGCCATAATCGCTCAGCCGGCTCATTTTAGTGATACGAGCTGAAATGTTGAATCGAACCGGTAGCATGTATAACGCATCTAAAGAAAAGATGGCAATGTTTGCTGTCGTCGGAGCTGGCGCTATTGGGGCCGGACTTTACACCATGAAGGTACATCTAAACACCTTGACGCCCTCGCATTTAAACAATATTAATGACGATTACGAGACATAGTACGCGAATTCGACCCCTGCGATAAATCGAAGAACAACTGTGGCGACTGGAGAGAGTGGTAGCGGACCAAAAGAATCTCGGCCCAAAATCCACGACACACGAGGCACCAGTGCCATGGGCCAAGAGGTGCCTTCGAAACGCGGACCTGGACGAGGGTCAGACTAGATACAAACTGGGATGATCAGCTTGGTACGGAATGACTATATGGGTGGGCAATTGGATGAGAATCATCCTGCAGACAGAGAAATCATCAATGGGTAGTAAGACATATTAGGAAGACATAGTAGCAAGACGAAAAAGGAAGGTACAACTGCCAGCGCTCCGTATCGCGCCGACGAATATACGAATACATTACCGAGAGCGCTGAAGCTTACACGTTGTGATTCCCAGTAGAATAATATTTTTTTTTAATTTTTTTTTTGCTTGGAACCGGTTTTCGCTATGCGACACGGCTCGCTCGTGGTGGCTGCGTCAGGTACGGCTAGGTATCAGCCATTCCCACCTGCCCAGTCGACCAATCTCATGATTAGCAAGATATACTTCGTAAAGCACTATTATTCCTGATCTAATACATCTCATCTATTATTCCTGATCTACTTTTTCTGCTCATGTGCGATCTGAGTAAGCCTAATGGCTACGAAGCAGCGAGGTTCTCGCGATTGACACCGTCACCATGACGCAACAAAAGCCCATGCAGATCTTTTGACATACATTTAACCGCTTGACGTCGGTAAAAAAAAAAAAAAAAAAAGCCAGTCTCTCTACCTAAATGTACTTGACCGATTTTACAGTATAGAAGTACGAATGGAAAGCCGAGAGGATACAGATAGCAGCGCGCCGTCAGCGCAGAGGACTGAAGGCTACGAATCAGGACCTTCAGAGGAAGCCACGCCGCCAGCCAGCAGTCAACAGTCTAGACGAAGCCGCCTACAAGGTACCGTCACAATCAATGCATGCAACGAGTGCCGCCGAAAGCGTGCCAAGGTATGGAACGTCTTTGAATTACATTATATCTTCACCTTGTGTGCTGCAAAATGCCAACAATGTGCTTAGTGCGACGGAAACCAGCCTTGTGGTCGATGCAAAGCTCGAAACCGAGGCACTTGTATTTATGAAGCTCCGGTACGACAATCGAAAGGTGAACTTCGAAGGGAGCTCGATTCCTTGCAAGAACAGCAAAGAAAGATTGATCTCGTCTTGGCTGGCCTCAATCAGCCCAGGGTTCAAGACGAGGTCCTGGCGCGTTTGCAGGCCCTGCACCCTCTCGACAGCATTGCAGGTTGGCTCAAGCGCACAGAACAGCAACCGCATCAGCAACAATATTACGACGCCTCGGCTAATGGAGCCATTGGCTACGGCAACACTCATTCTAGTCAGCTCTTGCCGAGCAGTACAGCAAATATACATGACGGCCTTGGAGTGGGGGATCGTGCCGACTCAACTCTCAAACCGAACTTACAGCCAAACTTTTCGACTCCTAGCCAAGCGCATCATGAAAGGAGTTTTCTACTTGATGAGTCATCACGATATCCCGATGGCCTTCCAGAGCCAGCAAGATCCCGTGTCGCAAACTGGTCCGAGATACGGCAGACCAATCACATCATCGGAAGCCCGGGCGAACATCCTGAACTCAGTGAAGCCGTCTCCTCCTTGCAAGAGTCACTGATCAAGCAAAGTACCGAAACTTGGACCACAGTCACCAATGATATCGAACTAGTAAAACACATTCTGGGTTTATACTTTTGCTGGGAATATCCCACATTTGCCTCGCTAAGCAAAGAGCAGTTCCTCCGTGACTTCAGCCAAGGGAGGCCGAGATATTGTTCTCCGATGCTTGTCAACGCGTTACTTGCCCTTGGATGCCGCTTCTCAACATTTCCCAAAACTCGAGCCGACCCGGATGATCCACGGACCTCTGGCCAGCACTTTTTCGACGAGTCACTCGAGCTCCTGCGCCGTGAGACGGACTACCACTCTTTGCTAATGATTCAGACTCTTGGAATCCTGTCGATCCGAGAGGCTAGCTGTGGTCGCACTACAGACAGTATAGCCTATGCAGGACAAAGCATGCGAATCGCAATCGAGATGGGTTTGCATAATATAGTTGAGAACCCGCAAGACGCCGGAGTAACCGACGAATTTACCGTTCTGAGTGCCACCTACTGGGGAGCATTCTCACTAGACCAGTGAGTGTAATCTCGGCAAAACGTCCGAAACCATCTAACAAGAGCTTGCGCCACAGGTCATGGTCTATCGAGACTTGTTCATTACCGTGCTTCTCAAGCAGTCTCATCAAACCACCTAAACCACCCACATTGCCAAACATTGAAGACTCCCTCTGGCTTCCATACACCGATTCGGGTTAGCTCTAGACACCATTTTGTGGCATTATTCTATTTCTGCGCTGACTTGTTCCAGGCACTCCGCCGAATTGCTTTCATGGACAGCCATCTCATGTACGTTCGGTATTCAAGTGTTATGCCGAACTAAGCGAGTTGACTCATCAAATACTCTACCTATTCCACTCACCTGAAGAGCCAGTTACCGCAAAGCGCCTACTGGATATATACAGAAACTTTGCTACCTGGTTTGACAATGTGCCCACCGCTTTAAGATTGGGCTACAACTTCACTCCGGCCGTCCTGTTTTCCCAGTGAGTCGAAGCCAAACCATGACCAAACCCTGAAGCGGTATAATAACGCAGATGTAGCATGCAGTATCACTTCAGCATACTCCTGTTATTCAGGCCATTCATCCGCCTACGCATCGCGGGATCTGAAATTGTTCCAAAGGATGTTTGCCTACAGTCTGCAAGTTCAATCCACACTCTGCTAAAGTGCTATGCGCAGCTTTACACGCTCAGGAGGACACCGACCTTTCTGCCGCACTTTATACTCACTTCTTCCATTACTTTGCTTATTATCGGAATTTTAAGCGCCGGTCCAGATTCTAACGGCAGCGGCACAAAAGTCGATCAGGGCATCGCCGACGACGTAAAGCTGGGTATGGACAGCCTCGAGGAAATCGCCTCGTGCCATCATTTCGCTGAGCAAGCAGCCAACATTCTGCGATGTCTTGCTGTGAAATGGAACGTTCACACGAGCATCGGACCACTGCCGGTCATCACTCCTGACACTTACGACAGGCTCGTGGAGCCTTATTTCGGCAGACAAACTCTGTTCGCGGATGATAAACTGGCGCGTAGCTTTGTAATTGGAGATGAAATGAGGCAGGTGTCGGAGGAGGAATCACAGCAGATAAAAGAAGCAATCATCATGATGGAAACCCTCATTTTACAGCCTGTTCCTGTGCAAGGATCTTCAGCATTTCTCAGGGAGACAAACTTGGCCGAGCGCGGTTTTATAAAGATATAAAGACATATGGGCACCGAGTTGATAAATTATTTGGGTCATATAGTATGAAGAAAAGCTCGAAAGGCGTGTGCGACAGAAGATGCCTACAGTGGCTGTAGGCCCCGAGCTGGTGGTGGGAGACAAGTTGGCCATGATTGCGGGTGGCAACAGCCTGCATTAGCTGGCTAATGATGATTATGAATAAATGTTGTTCTTATAGGCTACAAATAACATTCAAACATGAGCAGTCATCATCTTCAACAATATTTCATTTGCTCGCATTTGCTCCATGTCATCACAGGCGAAATTCAGACTTGCCTTTTTTGGCTGCGAGTAGGTATCCACTCTTTTGTTTGGCGCCATCACGGTTACGCGACCGATCTTCAAGACCGTTGATACTTTTCATCAGGACGTGATATCGACAAATTTGAGCGGACATGAAGAGGAACAAGACAACATCTTGAACACAAGCGCCATCCTCGTTTATCCGCTATAATGGATGAGCGATCATCAAAACGGCGACGGACCAGCGGCGCCGCAGACGTGTCGAGCCCCAGCCGAGAAGACCGCGCAACACCGCGGTCGCGACGCCGCCGCCCGTCGAATGAGTCGCCGACCAGAGCCAGCACAATGCGCCAGAATCCAGAGATTGTAGAGCGCGAAGAAGCTCCAGCTGCGGCAGAGACCTCCGCCGCGCAGACTGCGGAGCAAACAGCCACTGCCAGCGAACAGCAAACACCACCACGCCGTCGGCTAGCCCGTGGGGGGATTTTAGCACCGCCGGGACAGGAACAACCGCCGCCAGCCCTGCCCACGAGAACGAGCACAGCATCACGAGCCGAAACAACACGAACAAGGACGACAGAAAAGCCGACCGCTAAATCTGTGCCCAGGACAGGTCGTCCCGAGCCAGCTGCTGGCACGGCTGCCGCCCCGCCGCAAGCCGAGCCAGAGCTACCCCCCGCCAGACCAGACCCTGTCACATCTTCACCGTCCAGGGGCATACACGGCAGCCCATCGCGTTGGCTAACAAGGGCAAAGCAAAAATCCTCGCCCCTCAAGCAGCCACCGATGCGGCCCGGCGAAGAGGAGCGGCCACAGCCAGTGCCGACGCCTCAGGCGCTGCAGCGTCGCCCGAACCCACCCGCCGCAGACAGCACCGATGAACGACCACGCGATACAGAACATCCCGACCCGGCGCGAAACGTGTCGATGCAGGACCCGGACAAGGTAAAGGAGCGGAACGCGCTGCGCGAGGAGCTTGCGCAGCTGCAGAGGGACCTGGAGATGGCGACGCAGGAGAATGCGCGGCTGCTCAGCACGCAAAATACGGGACGCTACGCTGCGTCAGGGAACAAGGATAAGATTCTGGACCTCTTGCGGCGGTCGCTGATTCCTGCGGATCCTCTGACGCTGCAGCCGCAGTCGCAGCAGCTCATGCTGGCGGCACTCAATCCCATCGGTCTCCTGCCCTTTAGCAGACCGGTGGCCACGCTGGTGCCGGACAAGGACGACAGCAAAGACATTGCGTCGCACCACCCCATCGAGATGTCGGCCGAGGAAGAACTCGGCTATCTAAAGGTGTTTAGCCCCTTTGACGTGACATCCAGCATCGCCGCGCTGCCCGCCACGCGGGAGCACCCGTTCCGCCAACGGCGTCTTCTTACGCTGCGCGACAGAGAGCGTCTGTTTCAAGCGCGCGTCGAGCTCATTGTTAACCCCGTGACGCTCGCCATCCTCGAGCTCCGCGTCCTGTCGCTCGAGCCCGCCGCCGCCGCCGAGCTGCAGCCCTTTGTCGACACCATCTGCGAGGGCCCCTGCAACAGGAGCATGCAGCGCAACGTGGGCGTGCTCTTTTGGGCCATGGCCGAGTGGCGGCGCGCCGCCGTCGAGCGCGCAGAGACGTGGGCGCGCCTCGACGCAGAGGTGCTCGCCAAGGGCGGGCCGGCGCAGGCAGCGGCGGCGATGCGTCGACAAGCCGAGCAGAGCGGCGAAAAGGTGGCGGCGCCGCCGCCGGAGCGGGAGCGAATCGTGCTCAGGGGCGCCGATCTGAGGTACTTGATGGGCAAGCAGGCGTACGACATGCCGATTGAAGCGGGGGAAAGTCAGAGGGACCATGCTCATGTACGGCTTGAGTGGAAGATTGGCTTTGACTGGACGGGCGAGGCGGAAAGTAAGCTCGCGATTCTAGAAGGCGTGCCGGGAAAGTGTAAGTCTTGTTTCTTTTTTTTTTTTTGCGCACATAGTCTCGCGTGACAATGGTGCTGACGTTTTTTGGTCTTATTACAGGGAGACGAGCCGATCGCCGTGGCAGCTTGGGCAAGCTGGGAGGCCTATTTCGAGATTTGGTGCAGCGTGGCGAGGATATAGATGTCGCTGCACGCAAGGTCGCAGCCCTACTGGTCGACGCCAATGTTTGAATAAGATGTTGATAATGGGATGCATGCACACATGAGAATATGACAGGAGCGACGGGCGCATATACATCTGTTTGGGCTTTTTCACCTTTTTTTTTTTTCATTCTTGATATCCGGGCAACAAGCAAAACCCCAAAGTATTGATTCAAGAGTAAATCTGGTAAACCGCAGCCAGTTGTTTTTGCAGCAAAACGATCCTTTATCACCGGTCTCGCGTAGTTTCGTCATTAGGTGCCATGTGACTAGCCTTTATTATGATTTGCTTGGATCCTCTCCCACATGCTTCTGTTTGTCTCTTCCATCACTTTCGTTATCGACTCTGCGCAGTGCGCATTTTAGGGTCGTTCTTCATTTTCGATAGTGCGTAGGAACTAATCTCCGTCAAGAATAGTAGTGTGTGTGTGTTTTAGTCGACGTCGACGCCGAGCTTGCGGAGGTCAACCTTGGCCTGGTCAATCTCCTGCATCAGCTCCTTGTGCGCTTCGGGCACATCGTTAAAGGTGAAGACGCCGAGGCCGAGACGGAAGAGGAGGAGCGCCCCAAAGGAGACGAGAGCCCAGAAGGGAAGCTGTGTGTCTTGGTCTTAGCATAGGTACTGGTCCCGGCGCGGGGAGTCGAATGGTTTTAGAAAGCTTACGACGGGGACAATCTGCTCCTGGATCAGAGCCGGGAGAGGAATCAGCTGGAGGTAGAGGGCGAGATAGAGCTGTTTATCCAAGACGTTAGCACAATTGCCAGCATGGCAGAGCGAGGGATCGAGTTTTGCGCAGGAGAGGGGAGGGGGGGGGGGGGGTCGTGCGCGGAAACTGCTCGAACGAGTGGTCGCGACACAAAAAAAGACGTACGGAAGAGACCAAGAGGCCAAAGGAAATGGTCTGCTGTGCACGTGTCATTGTTGGGCGAAAGCTAGAGGTAAGGAAAGACTGTAGTTGGTTCTGAAGAAGAATGAAGATATTAAGAGAAGAATTGGTTGATTAAAGGTTTGGTGACGGAAGGATCTGAGCTCTCGTGGGGGAGACGTGTAAGGAGGCTCTAGCGCGTGTTGATGCCAACTATCTCGGCAAGGGGGTGCATTATTATGTCAGCATTTCTGGATCTTGGACTGTGGTTGCAGGACATGTTGTATACGAGATACACAATGCATGCGGAATTGATTAATGATGATCTTGAAACTCATCTCTATTTTTCTGCACTTTATCAGAAAAAAAAAATTGGCCCGAGATTTGAGCGTTTTCTACAGCGATGCACCGAGCAGGCGGACTGCCATCTCTCCTCCTGTCGGAGCAGCTTAGCTACTACTCCAACAGAATTGGCCATATAGATTAACTGTGAAGTATTCTGCCCAGAGACACAGTTTAAAATGTAAAGCAGATGAAACATATAATCAATCAGCCGCTATCGTAAATCTGACAATGCGAAGCGAAGCCATGCAACTTTGTGTTGTCTACCGAGGGCCAATTTGAATCGCAAAGTAGTCGGTTAACCCTTTGCCAGGTGCCCCATCGTCCGGGGGGTAAACTGAGAACTTCTCCTTTGATGAGTCGAATGAGACTTGCCGATGCCGGATTCTAGACGTCGACGTGATCACGAACCCCTCGCCATGCCAAGCTTCTAGAACTGCTAGGGGAAGTCCCTTTGCCGGGGCCGCGAAAGTGGGGCAAACCGGACTTGGCTCCGGTGCGCGCTTCCCAGTCAGCCTCCGTTGATCGGGACGAAAGCCTGTTGAACGGGTACACGTTCCTCTAAACCATAAAATGCCATGATCCTTCCCCGCTCACTCTCGAAATATAGTTAATTTTGGTGAGGTGTTTTCGCGATCACGAACAGCGATTGCTATCCGATGGCTCATAGACAGACAGCGCAGTTTAGATATATACCCTGTCTGTAGGATATGCATAATGACACTTTCCGTTGCCGTGGAGGGTAGCCCAATGGGCTCTCTGCATATGCAGGGTGAGATCGAGGACTTGTCCTGTTACAAAACTATAAAAGATAATCCGAGGAATTTTACAGAAATGTTGAGCGATTACGCTCGTTCGGGTTTAAATGTGTGTTTGTATTGTATGTAATAATAATAATAATTTTCGTATGCTCTCTACCATGCAATATGCAGGTCGATGCATATTTCAGAATTCCGTTCAAGTCGTATCCAATTTCTTTATAATGTAGTTTGGGCCCAATTTGCAAAATGCTTCCATTCTCTGTGATGGTACTTGGCGATGCTGCTGTGCAAATGCCAAAGGGTATAAAACGCCGAATATGCTCACCGCTGTTGAAATGTGAGATGAACAACAACAAAAGAAATGCAAAAGAAAAATCATTAAAAATTTGCATAAAAAATATGAGCTCCCCAGAAAAAGAAGAAATTGACCGGGACCCTTTGCCCAAAAAAAAGAAAAAAGCGCCAGGCTGCCATCGGCTACTCGCGCCAGAAACGCCAGGTCCTGCGGCGTGTTGCCTGCGCGTCGTGACGGTGCTTCTCTCCAAGGTCATCTTCCAGGTGCAAGCGATACCTGCGGACGCTACCAGTATCGTCGTCAAACGACAGGTGCTTTTGGTCCGGCACCAGGCAGTCTGGAACCAAGTGCTTGCGCATCCAGCCCGTGACCCCTCGCCCGGCCGCATCAATGGCGGCGTACTCTAGACGACGGGTGCTGTCGCTGGTCCAGTAATGCGTCGTTTGAGGCGGCTGGGCCACCGTCGCGGCCTCTGAGGGGGGGCTGGGCTCGGCCAGCTCCACGAGATCAGGCGTCGGAAACTGCACGTAGCCTACCGGCTGCGACTGCGCGTATGATCGGATCCTGTAGGGTGCTTGGCTACCGCTCGAATACGTATTGTAGGAGCGTGCTGACCGCCGCGTAGACGGTCTGGATGATCGTACACGCGGACTAGAAGCCGACGAGTTGCGCCGCGTCACAGTGCCAGACGGCCGGCTGCTGTTGGACATGGACGTCCGTGGCGAGGGCGGCTCGTAGGACTCGTAGCCAGAGTCTTGTCGCTGCATCTTGGAAGCCTCAAACGGGTCAAAGTCTTGTTTGTGCTGTAGCCGCCGCTGTGCGTAGCAGTTTGTCTCGTTGGTGGGCTCTGGCGGTTCGACAAGCTCGATATCGTTGAAGCTGTAGTATGTGGTGTCCGACAGGGCCGGGCTGGCGCAATGCTGACGATCCATGGTCGGTGCACAGTTTGTAATAGTTATGACGGAGACGACGTATCAAGCTTTTGTTTCCTTTTTTTGCGGCGCAGCGTGGTACGAGTGGGCGGGGTCAAGGAAGAAGGAAAGAAGGAGATGAAGTGCCGACCAGGTGAAGGGGAGGGACACAGGTGGTGTATATATAATGAGGGTTGAAATCACACCTAGTACTATAATAATTTCGAGTCCAGGGGAGTAATGTCGTATCCAATGACCGTATGATGCCGAAGCGAGATGACGGGTAATAAGAGTATGCAAAGGCAGTTTTGGCGGTCTGTACACCCGAGGTTCCAGGATCGTTGACGGGGGTGACGTGTATCCAGGGGAATATCAGTAGGGTAAATGCTGGCTATCATAAATAAACCAAGATGACAAGGGCAGGCGGGCGTCTGCTGTTATGTTTATTATTGAAACAATAACAGAATGTATTTTTTTGTGCCTTGCTGGGATCAACCACGGATAGACCAGGGGTGGTGTTGGGACGGGGGTGAGTTGTGGACCTCTGTAAGTCGGCGGTGAGAGGCTCACAGAGGGGAACTTCAAAGTTGTTGCCTCGAGTGGGTAAGGTTTGCTGCAGATGCGCACTGCGTGGAGACGGAAAAGACTCAAAATACTAAACTAGCCGGAACAGCTAGTTTTTTGGGCTGGCTTTCCGGCGGGAGGGGAATATGGAGGGTGTTGGCTGGGTCTTGGACCGGGGATGGATGCAGTAGCTCTGCGTCCACATCCAACGGAGAATGGCGGTATGTTGAAAAAGATGAGCTGACGAAGCAAGACGATAGAATCGCTAATAAGCGATGGGAGGCGACGGTTTGCTCAAAGGCTCCAAGGATGAAGCAGTTGGGTTCTTGAGATGTAGATGAATTGAGTTGCTCTTGTGTTGACGGGGGGGAAACGCAATAAAAAGTCGCTATTAGCCCAGTGAGCAATAGCTAGATGACGAGCAATGTCCGAATAACTACTGATAGTGATGTTTCAAAAGTGATGACTTGCTGCGGGTTGTGCGTGGAGGACCTGGGCACGTGCTGGGGGTCTTTAAAACGTGCGTGAAAAGAGTTGGGATGGCTTCGGCTGCATGTCTCTGTGCTCTGATATTTGGCTTTGCCCTCGTTGAACCTCTTTCCCCTCATTCTCAATATGCAGAATGAACAGCTCGTGGCGCAATTCCCCAGCGCCAGCGAAGGGGAGGGGGGGGTGGGTTCGAGTCGGCCAACCACCGCCAACCAGTAGAGTGCAGGCTAGCTGGGCCAAGGTCCTGGGTGCTGATCAAGCGTGTGTGCAAGCCGCTTCGAGTGTTCGTTGGGCACCCAAAATGGCTCTCGCCTGCATGCGAAATCCGTTGTCTCGCAAGTACCAAGTCACAAGTCTGCGCGGTGGTCATGCGCTGTCAAAGCTGGTCCAGTAACGGGCCAAGAATGAGGTCTGTGGCTTGCAGGCAAGGGAAAATGCAGCCGATGTCGCTTCAAGACTGGTCGAGGCGAGCCGGCAGGTCGAGTAGAAGGCGGTTCTCTGTGGATGAAGATGAGGTAGAAGATGGAACGAGGTAATAGCTGTGCTTTTATATTTATAACTATTAATTAGAAGTAGGACGGAGATTTGCCAACTTATTACTGAAGAAAACTGTAACCAGTTGGAAAACCACCCGCCCGCTATCCCCTCGTCCCGGCCAGGCACCAGTAATAATTAGAGTATCAGTGAGCTGCGTAGGCGGGCGGGAGTTGCCGCTGATTTGCACTAATTCGTCGTCACCGCGTGAACATCCAAGCCTCTGTGCTGATACTGCGCCATCATGTGATGCTACAACAACAACACTAGGCGAATAGTGGTTTGGCTCTCGGGTCTGCACTACCGTCGCACTTTGACCAGTCGCTTTTGCATGTGCTTTTTGATTCGCTTCTCAACTGCATTAATTATAGACTGTCGTGCCGTTCTTATTGGGGAAGACGAGACGAGACGGGTGGACAAGGGGGCTGCTAGCCCTGGGCGTCAGGTCAGCCGGAAATAGCTGCCCAATGAGTGACGGCTCATCAGGCACTGAAACATGGTTCTAGTTACTCCATTATTGGCTGTCAGCGAGTCGGACCAGCGCACACCTCTCGACTCCCGTACACACACACACACACACACACACACACACACACACACTAATACAACACACAGA